TGACTCGGCGGACGAGGCGGAAGTAAGGGCACCTGGTGTCCTGAATGCTGGGTTTCTATTGGTCGCACGTGAAAGGGCATGGACGCCAACGGAATTCATTTTTGTTTTGGGCAAAACAAACTAATTGACGCCACCTGCAATGAACTGGATAAAACTGACTGTGTGGGCGAGGTGACAACTTTAATTTTGCATATCAGCCTCCATTGCGGGGCTCTCTGGGTTTTATTAATTCATTGAGCTTTTGAAATTCTGGCATCAGGAAATGTCCCTCATTAATACAAAATGAGACAAGCTACCGCAAACCCTGAAATCATGCAAGCTAGTCCAAAAAGCAATTGAGAGCTGTGTTGCCCAAGATAACTTGAAGTAATATTAAATCAGGTGGAGTGAAGCTAAGTAAAAAAGGCATTAACTTAAAAAGAAATCTCACTACATATATTGTATAGTAAGTGCTCAGATACAGAGCTAATTAAGGAAAACTAAGGCTTGTTCACTTATTCATTCAAACATTTACTAACCATGTATTATGTGGAGGGCAACCATATATAACTTATCTGGCGAACAAGACCCTCTGAGAGTGAAAGAGGGTGCAGTTAATAAATAAGCGAGGTGAACAGACAGTTTAACTATACACCAAGTACAGTGCTAGGCACTTGGGATTCAAAAGTAATAACATACTCTATGCCCTCAAGAGATAAGTCTGGTAGACATGTCATCAGTTAAATGTAATCAAAATAATATAGGTGCTAGGAGAAATATATATGGGGTAGAGAAATATATGGGGTATTTTTTAAAAAGTAAATTGTCAATGCTGGAGGAGAGGGGACAAGGGTCAGAAAAGAGGTAATGTTTATGGTGAGTACATGATGGTGATGTTTTCTTTAAGTAGACAAGGAGATGGAGGTCACCGCAGGAGCAGGTATAACATGAACAAACCAAGGAACCTAAAACAGTATGATTGTGACTGCCAGGACTCAGCCTAACCACATGGAAAGGGGACGGTGAGGAGTATTGGGTGGAGGGATTAGAGTGTTGTTCCGGGGCTGGATCATGAAGAATCTGTGTGCCATACCAAGCAAATTGGATTTCTACTGTAATTTAAACAATACAGGACCATAAGAGTTTTCTAACATTAGAAATTAAATTACTGAGTTTCCATTTTAAAAGATCTGGGCAACAATAATCTGGAGCACAGAGATTAGAAATGGGAGGTTGATTAAAAAGGTTGAGCAATAGTTCAAGCAAAAAATAAGATTTTAAACAAAGATAATGGAAATGTTAAGTAAGAGATGAGATTTTAAGGCAATAACTCATAATATATGACATGTAAGTAAGAGGGAGGAATCAAAATGACTTCCATATTTTTTACTTACATGCCTGGATGGATGTAAGTAAAGGCCTCCTCACTGAAATCAGGACTATGGGAGGAGGAATAGGTTTTTGGGGAAAATGAGCTCCAGTTTTAACATATTGAATGTGAATTTCATATTGGACACGCCAGTCAGGAGCTAAGGGAGTTCTTATTTGCATGTAAAATATATGTGAGCCACGAAAAGGATTGCCCTCACTCAGGAAGAGAGTGGTATGATAAGTGAAAAGGGCCAAAGACAGAAAATACCAGATGTAAGATGCAACAGAGGAAGAGGAGCTAGGGAAGGATTGGGAATCCTATTAATTATAATGGTCAAGAATACAGCTCTAGTTGGGAGAATTTGCATACAACCCTGTCATATATATTAAGGTGGATAGATTGATAGTGGGTCCTACATTGGGAAAACAACTCAGCAGAGTTCTTAAGAGTATCAGAGAAAATAAGCTAAAACATCTATTACAGTGTAGGCTTGCAAAAAATATGACACCCATTGCTATTATAGCAGGAAGAATTTTCTAGCACAGACCCAAGTATTCAAGAAGTAGAAGATTTCTTTGTTTTCTTGAACAAACTTAAATCTCCATCCCCCTAGGCCGTTAGAAAATTCAAGCTCATCAAATTTGGGGTTTCCTGGCATTCCCTAGGGTCACACCAGAATCTGACACCGGAATGTAAAGTTTAAACAGTAGGATCATCAGCACCTGAAACAGTGTCTGGCAAACAGTGAGGAAGAGTCTCTCAGCTTCTGTCTGTTAGGGTCACCATAGACGTCTCCCTGTGCAAGTCTGAATTATCGTGTGAATGCGCATTTCCATGACATGCTTGAAGCCAAGCAGGGCCCAGGTATCTTTACTGAGATGGGCTCCCACTAACCAGGAGGAGGGTGGAGACGGGGATGGGGAGGGGGTGAAGGCCATGAAACCATTCCCACCAAGGGGCAGGGCCAGGGCCAGGGTGCTGGCCCTTCTCCAGGCTGGAGACACTTTCCCACTGATCTTTCACTGCCATCACATGGTCATCTCTCGCCTCCCTCTTCTCAAGGACACATCAAAACTCTGTTCAGCGAGTTTCAAGACTATCAGCAGCTTCTTCGCCAGTACATCAAGTGCCCTGAGGCCAGGAATCACACGGGAACTGGCTATCTAATTGGAATAGGGATAGGAAAAAAAACTCCAGTACAGCAAAATACAGATCAATACCAAACCAATTGTCCTGGCATACCGTCAGTGAGGAAAAGGAAAACATCAATTAACCATTAATTAATAACAATTAACAGTAAACACATAGATGTTTAAAAGCTAACAGAATGTTACATATGCTTCCTCTCACTCCTAATCCACACAAGCCCCAAACTCTTAGCATACTCCCTGAGATGGGACATGGGTGCCTCATCACCCAGGCAGTACAGTATTCCTCATATTTCATATCCCTGCCTCTGAATCTCATTGGGTAATTTTTATAATGCAGATTCTTAGGACACACCATGGACATAATCATTCAAAATCCCAGGGCATGGAAATGTGCATTTTAACAAGCTCTTCTGAGCAATTCTCATCGTTGACTAAAGCATAGAGAAGAAAAGCACATTTGAGAAGTGCCCAGCACTGACAAGGACTTGAACAGTGGAAGCACACACTGGGAGCAAAAGGGAAAAGACACTGCAGGCAGAGCAAGCTGGCGTTCATATGATGTTCAGGAAGGGATATCATTCGTAAAATATTGACATCGTATGTGACCTAAGAATTACACAGCATCTCCTCCTGAACCTAGAGGAGACCACCAGAACTGAATGACTCCCATAGCAAAATGGAACCAGGCTCATGTCTAATTCTTACCATGGACTTTATAGATTGCATCTGAGAATTGGAATTTAGCTATCTACTTTATTCATATTAAAACATAAATATACAAAATGTCATTTAATTCAACTCTCCCAGGAGTTTCTATTTGAGGGGAACACTTTGTATGTTTGTTTTCATGTCCTCTGCACTTGGGTAAACCTGAGATCCAATGTCACTTCCTTCACAGCCCCAAGTTTTTTCAAAGGTGGCACAAGACTTGTGAGCTTCTGAATCAGCATCAACATGAAGGCTGTAATCACTTTGTTTTTCAGACATGAACAACTTAAATTCCAATTTAAACTGCATTATCCTAATCAAATAAACACAGAGTGGGAGCCCTGGCTTTCTTTAAATGCACAGTAACCAAGAAAGACCAAAGAGGCAACAGCTAGCTAGCCATGAGTTCCTGCACCTGCAAATGAAAAGGAAACATACATTAGTCCCCAAACTGTCCTTCTAGGAGTAGCCACTACATATGAAAAGGCGTGGGAAGGATGCAACAAATGTGACCATTTTATTTAGTGTTATAAGCACAGTGAAACCTTCAACATTAGTTTGGAATTAAATAAATACTCATAAGCTTAATAAATGTTTTAATTTATTTAACACATAATGGCAGGGCCTGGAATACCTTACTGTGCCAGGGAGTAAGGAAGCGCACACACAAAATTGCACAGATTGTATAAAGTACATAGGCCCCTGCTAGGGGGGAGCTCACGCTGGACACATCTGGACCAATTAAAATATTGGTAAGTGTAGATTATAACCTACTGAATAAAGCAAATGTAATAAAAATGTTTAAAAAGTTTGTTCCTAAATAAATTGAAAAGTTTTAGAATTTAGTTTTATTCTCCACTACCCTTCAGCGACAAAACTTTCAAGAAGCTCAAAAAGAAAGTGAAATCTCCCCTCCCCCATCTCACTCGCATGGATTGCCTGCAGATTTCTTCTGAAAGATTCTTTTGTTGCCTACACCCACTGACTTTTCTGGGTGTTCTTAATGCTGCCCCCTACGCAAGAAAAGTCCTTACCTTCTTATCCCACATGCCACCTCTGTCCTCTTTCAAATACTCCCTCAGGATGCAAAACTTCCAGAAATTTCACATCATCTCTAAAGTTCAACTTCCAAATTTGAAAAGAACATGCGTCTAATAAAGTTTCTAAGAATTATAATTGCTTTTCTTATTTTTTCCCTTTTTGGGGAGATTATAGCAGTCATATCCTTTTTCTGACAAATTTAGTGAATGAAATACTTATAAAATAATTATGAGTACGTATCTGCTTTGTGTTTTAGGGCACTTTGCTTTACCTTTTTTAACTTTATATTCTCATGTGCACAATAAGTATGCTATAGTCTGATACTTTTTATCTCTTAATTAACGTCATGACCCCAAAACTTGTTATAAAGACAAGTTATTATAACTGAAGGTTATTTTTATTCAAACTAAGACCACCAGGTGGTAGCCACACTTTATCTCAAATCTTGGATTCTATATTTCATAGACAACAGAATAATGCTTCCTTTTAGTGGTGACTTGATTTGGGGTAGCATCATAATCCAAAGCTTAATTCAGAAAGTAAATGTTGTGCCCAGTCAGGATAGCTCAGTGGTTGAGCATTGACCTATAAACCAGTAGGTCACAGTTCTATACCTGGTCAAGGCACATGCCCAGATTGTGGGCTAAATCCCCAGTGTGGGACATGCAGGAGGCAACCAATCAATGATTCTCTCTTATCATCTGTGTTTGCATTTCTCTTTCTCTTTGCCTTCCTCTCTAAAATAAATTTTAAAATAGTTTTTAAAAGAGAAAGTAAATGTTGCTAAAAAATCATGCTCCTTGAGAAGTAAGAAGTTAATGATGCCACAAAATTAAAAGAGAAGTAAAAGGACCTTGAATTGGCTCTCTTTAAAATCTTACTACTTGTTTTTAAGATCTTCATCCAAATATTAAGAATATGCAGAAGCTACCTCATATGTATGTTTTATAATTTAAAAATTAATATGTGCACATGATTTAAAAATCATTCAGAATGTACAGTGAGAAGTATCTCTAAGAAGCTAAGTGTTCTTCTCACTCTAGATCCTTAATTTTTCTGTCCACCTCTTCAGAGAGAAGTATATTGTTTACTGAAAAAAAATCAAAGTGAAGAACAGTGCTTATAATATGCCACTAATTTTATTTTCAAATGTGTATACAGTAGTCCCCCTTAACTGCAGAGGGGATTTATGTTCCAAGACCTCCAGTGGATGCCTGAAAGTGTGGGTAGTACCAAACCCTATATATATATTTTTATATACACCTAACTATGATAAAGGTTAATTTATAAATTAGGCACAGTAAGAAATTAACAACAAATAATAATAAAATAGAACAAGTATAACAGTATCTATATATATAAAAGCCTAAGTGACTGTTCAACTGTTCGACCATTCGACCAGTAGCTATGACATGCACTGACCACAAGGGGGCAGACGCTCAATGCACAGACTTGGAAACATGGAACACACAGATGAATCTCAGAGGGAAGAAGAGAGAGGTGAGGGCAGGAAGAGATTAACCAAAGATCTGCTCAGCTAGAAGCCGAGCAGTGGCAGTGGTGGGAGCCTCTCCCACCTCCATGGCAACACTAAGGATGTCCATGAGGAGCAGGCCTAAGCCGTCAGTTGGACATCCCCCTAGGGCTCCCAGACTGCAAGAGGGCACAGGCTGGGTTGAGGGAAACCCCTGAGGGCCTCTATTACTATAATAAAAATTCTATGAATGTAGTCTCTCTCTTAGGGCAACTGAAAAAAGGTGCTATTGCTTTTGTTGATATATAGGTCTATCTTCAATTAAAAATATTTCAAAGACAATTATTAATCTAGCAGTTAAATAAAATGCTGTGGCAGTTGAAGTTAATCAGCTTCACTTTGCAAATTAGGAAACTCAGGCCGAAAGAATGGAAGTCACCTTCTTCCATGACTGAGCCAGAACTGAGTTTAGTCCAGGCACCCACTGCTTTAGAGGCACAGGTCTTTCCCTGGGGTCCAGGGCATGGTATCTCTAAGAAGCTAAGGATTTAGGGACACACAGGATCTTTCCTGAACCAAAAGCAGGACATCTCAGAGCAGGCTTTTTTCTCAATTATGTAAGAGTTCAGCAAAGATCTTTTTTTATTAATTATAACTACATTAAGAAACTTGCAGATTATTTTGATAACCAAGAATAAGGGATTACACCAAATGAAATGAATGACAGCACATAACCCACACTCCTTAAACACTAACTGTCTAGATGAGATAATCAGCACTCTAAAATTTTAAAGATGGACAGAAGCCAAATACTTAAAGTTAAAATTTATACATGTGATTCTTTTTTTAAAGAGCACATACAACAACCCCAGAAGTACTACATGTATTTGACAATTCCTCCATTTGATGCTCTAAAATTTTTTCTTATACAACTATCCATCCATCCATCCATCCATCCATCCATCCATCCATCTATAGATACACACACATGCACACAAACACATCGTGTTGATGATTAAGATATCTGTGACACTGTTGCCTAACCAGTATCCATTCTCCTTTTCTTCTCTGGTAAGAAAGAAAATTCCTACATTTTGGTTGCATATATGTGCCTATGTTTAAAGCTTGTTTCCAGCCTCCCTCACAGATATCCTGGCTGGACTACAACAGCCATCTTCTGATCATGAGGTGACCCTGAGGATGGAAGCTATGAGATAAGGCTGAGAAAGAAGACATGGTGAAGGAGTCAAGATCCTTGGTGACAATAAAGCCCCCAGTGGAGCCCTGGACTGAATAAATCTGCACTTACTTTATATGAGAGAAAACATTGTATCTTTTCTGAACCTCAATTATTTCAGATTTTTATTATATATAGTAACTGGAATATATGTTCCATTGAGCCAGGAATCTCTACCTGTTATGCTCACTGTATATCCCAAGAACCTGACATAGGCATTCAGGAAATATTGTCATTGAGTGAATGCAGCATTATACAAGCCTAAACTCTCACTTTATTTTTTTGTAGTACCAAAAAGGGTAAACTGAAAAAATTCTGAAGATTTCTTTTGCTATGCTAAAAAGAGGTTAATATAATATTGAAGTGAGCAAACACAAGGCAGCTGGAATGTTGGCAAAGAGTGATGCAGGAGGATTTACCCAATCTAAGCTAAAAATAGTGTGGTCTCTCTGGGAAGAACAGAGGCTGGTTCCAGCTGGGTAAACTGCTGATGGTGATCCTGACCACAGAAAAACATTCTGAGGGGCTCTGAGATAGTAGCCACTCCTTACCTAGCAATACATGACTCTAGCATTGTAAACTATTTCATTCTACCGGCAAGGTTTTCTAGACTTAAAAAAATTTAACATATAGATAAATCAACCACATTCCTATACTGGATTGGGGCAACTTGAAGTGAAGTTCAAGTCTAATTTGTTTGTGTCTCCAGAATCTTAAAGAATTCTCAAAATACAGTAAACCTTCCATAAATGTTTAACAACTTGAGTTGAATTGGAAGATCAAAGAATAGGAGACATGAAATATTTATTCTCTTTTATCCCTCCCCACCCTCCCTTCGCACTCCTCCCCAGATCTTACTTTCCAAGTGGAGTCCAGGCTTGCTAGGGTTGTTGATGGAAGTAAAGTTAAGGACTGTGTGAAATTCCATTACTAGAAATTTATTCCCTGTGAGTTTTTTAATTGACTACTTGAAGAGTCCTCTTTTAAATGCAATTAGGGTGGAGGACAAAGAATTCTGAGTTTTTATCTCAATTTGCCCTTTACTTCTGAATTCCAACTTACCTGGATTTTTGTTTCTCCTTATGTAAAATGGGCAAGTTTTAACTAGATCAATCATTTCTAGGCAAGAGGACTTGAAGCCTGTAATAAGTTTACATAAACTAATCTAATTATTGCAAAGCCAAATAGGAATTGTACATTTATAATTCTGCAGCAGAGGCCAGCCTAGAATTCTATTTTCTTTTTTTTTTGGACTGAAATTATATGAATGTAGTGTGGCTACACTCATTCTCTGATGTTGATATTAATTTCTGATTAACTGCTTATGAAATCATAACATTTCTGGGGCTCATGGAAGCAAAAAAAATTGAAAAGTTTTACAGGCATCAGGTTGATCTCTAAGACACTGCAAAGCCAAGGGGGCTAAGGCATAGAGTTGCTGTCATCATGCACTCCTTATTGTGACTCTTTTTTAAAGCTTTATTTGGGGTATAACAGATAGATAGGAAATAGATAGACAGGCTTTGATATATGTATACATTGTGAAATAATCCCCAC